GTGTTGTTTTTCTAGGTCTGAGAAGAATGTTGTTGGTAATTTAATGGGTATTGCATTGAATTTGTAGATTGCCTTAGGTAAGATGGACATCTTCACAATGTTGATTCTTCCGATCCATGAGCATGGGATATTTTTCCACTTGTTCGTGTCAGCTTTGATTTCTTTGAGCAGTGTTTTGTAATTTTCATTATAAAGGTCTTTCACGTCTCTGGTTAGGAAGATGCCAAGGTATTTCATTTTTTTTGTGGCTATTGTGAATGGAATTGTGTTTTTTATTTGGGTTTCTGTTTGTTTATTATTGGTGTAGAGAAATGCGATTGTCTTTTGTACATTTATTTTGTATCCTGAGACTTTGCCAAAGGCCTTTATCAATGTAAGGAGGCCTTTGACAGATTCTCTTGGGTTTTCAAGGTACACCATCATATCATCTGCATAGAGAGATAACTTTACTTCCTTTTTTCCTATTTGAATACCTCTGATTGCCTCCTCTTCTCTGATTGCTCTAGCCAGGACTTCCAATACTATGTTGAACAGGAGGGGTGAGAGTGGACATCCTTGTCTAGTTCCAGTTTTCAGGGGAATTGGTTCCAATTTTTGTCCATTTAGGAGTATGCTGGCTGTGGGCTTCTCGTAGATGGCTTTTACTATTTTGAGGTATGCTCCCCATATGCCTAGATGTTCAAGGGTTTTTATCAAGAAGGGGTGCCGGATTTTATCAAAAGCTTTTTCTGCATCTAATGATATGATCATGTGATTTTTGTTTTGACATCTGTTGATGTATTTAATTACATTTATGGTTTTACGAATATTGAACCAGCCTTACTTCCCAGGAATGAAGCCTACTTGGTCATGGTGGATGTTTTTTGAGATGTATTACTGAATCCGGTTTGCTAGGATTTTGTTGAGAATTTTAGCATCTATGTTCATCAAGGATATTGGCCTGTAGTTCGCTTTCTTTGTTGGATCTTTACCTGCGCTTGGGTTTCAATGTGATGTTGGCTTCGTAAAATGATTTGGGGAGAGTTCCATCTTTTTCAATCGCCTGGAATACCTTCAGTAGGATTGGTATCAACTCCTCCTTGAATGTCTTGTAGAATTCTGCTGGACAGCCATCTGGACCAGGGCTTTTTTTGTTGGAAGTTTTCTTATTACGTAGTCGATTTCCTTGATTGTTATTGTCTATTTAGGGTCTCAATTTCTTTTTGTTCCAACCTAGGTAGGTTGTGTGATGTCAGAAAGTCCTCCATTTCCTTAAGGTTTTCAAGTTTGTTTCCATACAAGTGTACGTAGTAGTCTCTAATGATCTTTTGTATTTCTTCAGGGTCAGATGTGACTTCATCTTTTGTGTTTCTGATTGTGCTTATTTGGTTTTTTTCTCATTTTTTCTTGGTCAGTCTAGCTAGGGGACCATCAATCTTGTTTATCCTTTTGAAGAGCCAGTTTTTGTTTCATTGATTTTTTGTATTATCTTTTTGTCTTCTATGTCCTGGATTTGGGCTTTTATTTTGGTGATCTGGATTCTTTTGCTGAAATTAGGGTTTTTGTGGTCTTGCTTTTCCAGCTTCTTTAGGTGGCTTGTTAGGTTGTGAATTTCTGTTCCTTCCATTTTCTTCATGTGTGTTTGTAGGAATATCAATTCCCCTCTTACTACAG